CCCCAAAAAAGGACAAAAAAATCACGCGATGTAGACAAACTGAGGTGCCTTTCAGAAAGATAAACTCAGCATTTGAATAATGCGCGGAGCGTAAACCATGGGAGAATATTCGAAGTTGGGTTCGAACCCAACATACAACTATTTGAACTCCGCGGTGGGCCGGGTTGCATACGCTGCGATTTGCGGGCGAAATCTAAGATCTGTCCACGGCTTTCGCGATGAGGTTCGAGTGCAATTATTGTTTTTCTCGAACTTTACTTATTTTTCAGTCAACTACTTTGACGCTCCTGTCGCACGAATTTGTATCGCGACATTAAAAAGCTGAGATGCTTTCCGAAAGACGAACTCGGCTGTTCAATGAAGCGGGGCGTGTAAAACAATGGAAGAATATTTGAAGTTGGATTTGACCCAACATGCAGCAATTTTAACTCCATTAAAGAGCGTTCCGTTTTCAATGATGTTAAAAAAGGCTCAGATTTTATCGAATTGATAACTGCAGACATTAGGAGTTCATTCACCTAGGCCGTTGAACTGATAAAAGTGCACGTGATATAAAGTAAATACAAACTTGCATTTAGAATGTGGAATTTTAAATGAATCCTTTGAACCACATGGTGGATTGAGATTCACTTCCGTAGTTTATTTTCCGTAAACTAGATGAGACCGATTCTGTTAGAAGGAAAAGAGTTTTAAAAACAGAGGCAGAAAAGAAAAACGTATTCGAAGTAAAAAAAAATCTAAATCTAATGGCGGAGATTCCAATTCTTTGCAGTTCTTACTTACGCAGAATGAAATGCAATGAATATTGCCCTGAGTTTCGTGGTGATGCAGCAGTCAGTTTTCCTTCATTTGAGAGGGTATAGACAATATGTGCTCTCAAGAGTTTGAATAGTAGTATCATAATCTTTAGTCTTGTTTAAATGCCTTACAGCCTTACCATTGCTTTCACTCTTCCAGCTACGATAATTGAACAGAAAAGAATGCACTCTAAAAATTTTACATGCATATAGGACCCTTCCTTTACTTTCTCCTCTTCCTCTTTTTATTCAATTTATTTTTCCTTTCTATACTCTCTTCTTCCTCTCCTTCTTTTCATCTCCTTTTTCCTCTTTCTCCGTAGAAGATGGCCTCTTAGAGCGCATTTTAGTTCACGTAAATTCTATTCTGCCTCTTGTGCGTTGCATTATATTCGGATGCTCTAGAAAAGGCATAATTCAATTTTTTAAATTTCGTACCAAGGTCGAAAAAAACCGAGTGTTTCGTTGCTATAAGGCAGCAAAATAGAACCGTACCCAGAATTAACTACCTTTCTCCTTCAAGGGCGTGACGTGGCGTGCTTTGCGATATATCGATTGATCTGCCACTTAAACCTACGGAAAAATATCGATCATCAGGATGTTCGCAGCGAACACCTTAATAATCGATTCTTTTCCATAGCTTCAAATGGGGAAATATCAATTATCGATCATTCACGGCTCGCTCTACCGTGCTAAGGAAGAACGCCGTATAAACATTCGAGAGTTGCCAAATTTCCTTCACAAAAATGTTTATTTTTTAGGAAATTTATGAATAT